AAATAAAAATACAACTTAACATAACATTGTTACATTATAATTAAAAGCAAGGCCATTATTTGTATCTTCTAAATCAGATGGCATTGTCACCAGAGGCAAACAGAAGTTCAATACCTTATATATTGTTTGCCAATATTAATGTAATTGTTCCAATTTAATTCTCTATAAAGCAATATTTGCCTTTGGAAATATCATAAAATAGTTTCCGTATCCGTTTATACAATTTTTTTTTCATAGCGTTTTAATCTAGCTGATAACTACTTTTTCTAAAGATAGAACGAACGCTATGATTTGACTGAAAACTGCGCCTCTGTTGGTTCTTGTGACGTCATACTAGTCGCAGCAGATAGATTGTGACAATGGGACAGACTGATGTTACTTTCTTTATAGACAAACATCGTCTGCTTCATCTCAAGATGCAAGTGTGTTGTTATTTTTTCCTATACTCCTTACATATAATCATACTGTTGGAAGTCGTAACAATCTGAGCATTTACTAAACTTTGCAGCACTGGCATATTCCCGTGTCTTACACTTCTCTTTGGTTCCTTTGCCTGTCTTAGGGCTCAACTTAATGAATTGACCATCGCTACCACGCCGTCTGTCCCGTTTCCGTTTTTCCCGCTTTTGTCCGGTGCCCTACTGGGTGCTTCACCGATGGCGGCAATGTTGTAGGTGCTGCTTTCTGTGAACGTCAATCTCCTTTGTTGATCTTCGTATTTATTTGTAACAATGCTTAACGTTTTAATTCCAAAAGACCAATGGGAGTTAATCTTAATAGGAATTTGTACTGCAATTTGTACTGCTACATAGATGACAGTACTTTCTTAAAGTAAAAAAACTGGCCACGTGAAACAATTTTCTAGAATACAGTACAGAATATTTTCTCGATTCAGCCTCTATATTTTGTTTTCGGATTTCACTACCCTAGTCACCAAAGTGACTTTGAACACCAGAGGATTATAATTTAAAAGAAAACGTCCGTTAGCATCGTATTGCAGAAGAATATTTATCAAAATAAAACAAGCACACGAATAAAACATGCAATAAAGGATGTGTAACACCAAATGTGTGGACGACAGATATAAAACACTACTTAAATGTAGGATATCATAGGTGTACATTGTCAAAAATAGAAGGAATAAAAGCTAATGAAAAACATTCTGTTATACAGCTAATAATTCGTATAAATATGTTTTAGTTTGGATTTATGACTGGTAGATACCACAATTTCTCAAAGAAATAAAGGAAAGTAACTTCAACAAAGCAAGGAAATGAGAGTTGAGTTAATGTTACTATTGGTTCAATTCTGTTACAGTTGCATCTGGTTGAAAATTTAAGATCATTACAATATTTGATCTGGGTAATGAAATAAACATCACATAATTATATGGGTAACAGTAAAATATCAACAAGGAAAAAAAGTTGATACCCGAGACGTTTGCTATGGGTGATATATTTTTTCTTCGAGGAATAGTATTTTTACTGTTACCAAAAAACCTTTGTGTTATTTATATGAAGCAATCAAAGCAAACATTTTACGTAGGCTGATCTGGTAATAATATCTCCTGTATTCAGTTCCATGTCTAGAATATCATATTCCTTTAGAAAAACATGAAAAGAACATGTTTCGTTGGCGTTGGAAACTTATCTAACAAACAAAATAATGTTACAGTAAAATCGAGGAAATAAGTCACCGGAAACTGGCATCCCGTTATTGGTTACATTGTCACGTTTGTTGATATATTTTAATTACAAACAAAACATTAATTTCTCATCACTTATCTAATGTAGTGAAGGTCGAATCTTGACTGTTGAAGGTGATGAATTCATTTTCAGAATTAATTTGTCTTGTCGCGATTTTTTAGAGTTTTTGTCTATGTTGAGACTCAATGACAAGACAAGAAAAGCAGAAGAAAATGGATGGAATACTCCATTTATGGACATTTTATCTTTTCGTTCCCTGAATAATGTGTATGCTGCAGACGGTGGGTAAAGATAACATAATAATTTGTCATAAATTTACAGGATTCTGGCGGGAGAATTCTCTTATAAAAGAAATATAAACATCGTTATTCCACAGTTTATCCTCGATTCCCATTCATAATGCATAAACTTTTAACAGATTAGTTTTATAGATTAGAACATAAATGAAAAATCTGAATTCCTGCCAAGCCACTAAATATCTAAATGTATTGTCTCAATACTCGGATTGTTATGTCAATTTGAATGAATATAATACACTAATGTATCGTTGTGTTTTCCCGGAAACGGATAATACAAAATATTGACAGTAGATACTATGGTATGTGCAAAATTTCTGATGGCATTTTAAAGTTGCGATAATTGTTTTACATTATTTACAATGAAGAGCTGCAAACTATGTATTAAATATGTTTTCATAACATAATGACCTTTCATGGCATCATAATTATAATTTATCTTGTACGATATCCAGTCCGTAAGTCAAATACACACGTCGTAGAACAAACAATTCTAAGACTTGGCTGATTATTTAAGAAATTGTCAGTATTGCACTTGTGAGTCAACGCTATATCTAAGTCATTGTTGCTTACAGTATTGAAATATGCAAAATACCAAACAAATTATCCTATGATGGAACTATTTATAACTGGATTTAGTCTGGCTTCATCAGATAGCCTTAGGTATGTCCTTTTACAAAGGACATCTGCTTTTTTTCTCTCCAAGTCTCGTCCTTAACCCCTTCAGAGCGATATTTTCAAAACGAAATGTTAATTTTTGTCAATATTCGCTTACCATTCTGGATGATATTTTTGTTTTAGGTTTTATACATAGAGTTTTATAGAGTTTTGATTTGTAATGCTTTTACCCCTCGTTTTATTAAGCAGATGTGTAAAAGCTGTGTGCTATGATGATTATGTATGGTAGTAAAAAAGTTCTTGATGCCAGTACATGTACATCGTCGGATAACCACGGTCGATTAACATGTAACATAACATGTTCATGGTTCGGCCGTGGGTATCCGACGATGGTACATGTACCAATGTTAAATAAAGCATCTTATATAAATGGAACTGAATACAGGAGATATTATTGCCAGATCAGCCTACCTTAAATGTTTGCTTTGATTGCTTCATATAAATAACACCTGAACTTATCTTGTTGGTTGTCTGTATTGCTTTAAATTTAAATTCCATTATTGTTTTTTATAATGTTTTCAAAACAACAATGATTAAATACAACGTCTAAAAGGTGAGGGTTTGAAAAGTTGAATATGTGTATTTCTTGATTGTTATATCTCGTATATCAAAAAAGTTAAAGGAAAATACGTTACAACATGAGTGAAGAAATGTTTGTATGTGCTCGGATATTGCAAAGACATGTGTAATAATAAAACAATTATAATGCTTAAAGTAGAAAAGGTGAAAGTCAACTCAAAATATGTCTTAAACGCATAATGTTTGTTTGTCCGATAGGGGACGGATTTTTTTATAATATAAGTACTCGAATTTAAAGAGTTTTAAAGTTTTAGAGGTATTAGCAACCTGAAATTGGTGTGATATGAAACATAGGTGTTGCTGTTTCAAAGAAAACTCAAAAGCTGCGCACTTGACGATTGTTAATAAAATATATGTTATGAATAATTTTGTGTCGGGCTTTGATTAATTTATGTGAAATACCTTCTTGCAATCTAGACAGACGGGGTCGATATATTTGTGCTGTCTTTAGGGATAAGGATAAACACAAACAACAACAAAAACAACAATAACAACAACAATTACAACAGCAAATTAAATATGATTATATTCTAGCACTGAAATGTAAGAAAAATAATGAAAAATTTTGATGATAATAATAATAATGATATTGTCTTAATATACCAATATTACTTATAATGTAAGTCAACATAAGATGTGATACAACAGATAAAATATGTAATGCAACCTGAAACAATTAGGTTCAACATTTTTAAAGTTTTTATTTAATCTATTATATCAATTCATTAAAACCATTGGAAGATATGATTCAAAAATTTCAACAAAACAGAGAAAAAAGATAATCAGAACATTTTGTTTGTACATGATAATTTAAAAGTACTAAACCAGCGCTAATAAAATGTTAACATGTATACAAAAATGTGTTAAACATGATAATCATGGCATTATAGTTATACTGTTATGAGTAGAGATAGAAAAATGAGTTGCTGATATGAATTTGTAGTAAAGCATAAAAAAATTATTATAATTTTATAACTTATAACCTTCATATTGTGTCGAATGCCAGATATGCCCGCTTGCTTTTCATAACTATAACATATCAAACGTTGTTTTGAACTAAAACTCAGTCAGTTAAATGATTATTCCAAGGTACTAGTAGTTTAAATAATAATATACTAGTTAGTTTAAATAATATATATTAGTAGTTTAAATAATCATATACTAGTAATTTAGATAATAATATAATAGGTAGTTTAAATAATGATAGACAATGTAAAGTAAGAAACAGTAAATGTCCATTAACTTCATAAGATATAATTTCACTACTTCTGATAACGAACTATATATAATAAGTTAATTAAAAAAATCAACAAGAATATTGCTTTAGTGTTGTGCAACTAATGTGATGGTCGCAAATCTAGATCAACCATTTTGTCGCAAAGTTTCATTGTTTTAAAGTATGATAATATAATACAAAATATGTCTTCTTTATAGTACATAACACACATTATGATACATTTATCATGAATAAAAGAACAAGTTCTGGTGTTCACGATCAATACCGGACAAAATTAAATCGATTTACAATAAATCATTTCTCTTCTAAGAATGGTTAAAATTCGTTATAAATGCATGGCGGGATTCCACGTGAATGGTTACCTTCATGAATAGATAATTAACAAAATAGAAAAACGTATGTAGTATTGAATTTAATTTATGAACCCAATCTACTGTGCGATAGTGTATGCCGAGTATAAAACTTAAACAGTTTAAACAACCACACAACATCAATTGGACCCACCTTGCAGCATGTTAAGCCATGGGTGGCCAATTCGACTTTGGCAAAATTTCCTTTGCCCAAGGTCTGCCCGTCCATCACATAACGGCCTATACATTGTATTTTCTTGCCCATGGTCCCAGAACCAGTCCCGTCTTCACAAGCCACGGCGATCTTTGGTAATATTTCCTCGCATAATTTTCAAACAGTGTATATTCTAATCCCTTTTCATATTTCATCACGGATGTTTAATCCAGGTTAGAATCCAGAATGTTTTTCCCATGTCTTTAGGCTACAATGCCCAAATCACGGGCCCGCCTTTTCGAGAAAAACTGTCTTGATTGAATAAAGATCGCGCGAATTAATTCCTGGGCACATATCATCGCAGTCATTATGGAAATCGATTGTAGAGATAATAGCAGCCAATCAAGATTTCATATATATTACCGGTATTAATTTTCCGACTCTAGTGAAATAGTATCCGATACGGCATGCAGTGTAACTGATAACTTACTATTTTCCCCTAATTTATAAATTTGAGCAATATCATATACCGAGAAAAAAATACACGAGCCGGATTGACAAAAACCGATCTTCATATATATATATATATACAGAAATTACACCTCACTAATCAACTAATACCAAAACACAACACTATCACGGCATTATTCGAAATGATCTGATTGAAGTAATCTTGCAAATGGATGACACAGTATCAATGTATTGGTATAACATGCCTTCGGATTGCTCAGAAATCAATAACGGTAATATATGAAAATGTATTGAATTTTTCCGCCATATTTCTACGTCACAGCCTGAATAGCAGATCCGAGAGATTCCGCGTGACGGCGCTAGATATACACAGTATCTTGTATTACCAATAGGGTATCTTCCTGTATAAGAGGTCACGTGATCAAAGTGTCATGAAATTTTCATTAAATTAATTATGACAATGAACCACGTGGTTTGTTACCTTGACAACGCAGCATCTGCTTGTGTTCTCTATCGGATATTCCCGTAATGGTCCGCTGTATTCATTGAAGTGAGATTACCGACTTGTTCCAAATGATCCCTCCCAGACGACATTATTTAGACATAACGTTCCCTTACAGACGAATTAATTATGTCACTGAAAACGAAAACATCTGAACGAAAGCATAAATTCAATAAGTTCGTGCGTACATTTAAGACAGTGCAATTACTGATGTCAATACGTGTTTGTATACCACGCGCGCGTTGTTTCATGTTTAAAATTCTTTGAAATACTTAAACTTAAAATACTGTTCATCAGACAGTACCCTAATATAACAGAAACATCATGAGTTATAAAAGTATTAATACTGTTCAGAAATGCATCTATGTTGAAATATGGAGCTAATACTTTAAAAATCCGAACTTTATTAATATATAGTGGCCCAAGAATATTGAAAACAGTAATATTTGATTTGTTTTATGTTATTGCAGGTTACAAAAAGGCACAAACTATCAAAAAGGACACAAACTATCAACACAAAATTGAAATACAAAATATCTGTGAAGAGGATAAACCGAAAGCTTCAAAAAAGTCAATTAATCAAGTAAACTGTGACACGCTCTTGAAGTTTCGTCAATACAAAAAAGAATATAAGAATCGTAAATAGTTTAAAAGACTTAGCAGCATTTAATATAAAAGATTTATATGAAGTATACCAGTCAGATTACCACGTAACATCTAAATTATTTCCATGTTTACGGACATTGTCTTAACAATTTAAATATTGCTTTGAAAAAAGAAAAAACTGCAAAGTTTAAACGAATTAAACACCGTTGCAACCGACCTTGCAATTTTTCACCAATTACGCAATATTAGAAAGGGAAAAAAAAGAGTAAAAACTAATATAGTAGCTAAAAGGGCTTTGACAGATATTTTGTTTGGAATGACATATTTCTATTTGTACGAAACAGGTAAAAATAAAGCTTTAATGAACTACTTACATTTATAATTGCTCTAAACAAAAGAAAAAAATCAATTAGGGCACACTTAATTATGTATATTAAATAATACATGAAACGATTGCCTTCCAAGCTATTGTTTTATATACATTAGAAATAAAGCGTTACTAAAATGATTAATAATGTCATGATTCCATTAAGAATTTTTGTGTATCACTCCGTGTTCAACAGGTGCCCTTTGATCTCGCCGCCACTATAATGACAATTATAGTTTAGACAATATATAAGTCATCCCCCCACATATATTTTAAGACAGGGCAGTGAATATTTTAATTGTCCCATCTAATTACGACTGTCACTAAAGGTTATGCTTACTTTACAAAAAGAATTATCGTGACTGTTTAGTAACGTATTTACCACTGACTTGGCCGTATCGTCATTAAAGTTTTGACATATATCTTCTTCATATACAAAAAAAAACTTACCCCAACACACTGAAATGAGTGAATTTGTAAATTAAAATTCCCAACCGCATCATAGTTTAATAGTAAAATACGCCTTTTCTCTTTAAATAGAAGCGGTGGGGCAGTGGTTTAGGAGTTTGCCTCTTAATTCGTGGATCGTGGGTTCGAGAGCTACCTGTATTGTAAGCGAACTTGAAAATGGTCAGAACCAGAACTTGTTTCAAAGGCGAGCTAAAATTAATGTTTAAAGCTAAACTCGTTTAATATACTTGAGAGTTATTCTTGTCATACGTAATATGAGCCGCGCCATGACAAACCCAACATAGTGGGTTTGCGACCAGTATGGATCCAGGCCAGCCTGCGCATCCGCGCAATCTGATCAGGATCCATGCTGTTCGCTATCAGTTTCTCTACTTGTAATAGGGTTTGTAGGCGAACAGCATGGATCCTGATCAGACTGCGCGGATGCGCAGGCTGGTCTGGATCCATGCTGGTCGCAAACGCACTATGTTGGTTTTGTCGCGGCGCGGCTCATATATCTCAAGTTTATACAAATTTAAACTATAAAGTAAGAAATAATAATTAGGACCTTCGAGTTCAATAAATCGAGAAAGAATCAAGTTTGTTTTCGTTTGTATCCTAGCAGATAAAAATAACCTATATTTAATAAAATCATCTTTAATTGTATATGAATTTATCACCAGCATGCCAACAAGTGAGAAACTAATTACTCCGCCCCCTTTTCCTTTTAACTTTTAATTACATTCATGGGATAAAAATTAAAAGCAAATCATTCTGCAAAGTAACTTTTCCACCTCTTTATTAATGTTTGATAAGACTTTATTATCTGATGTATTTAAATGCTCAGACTATTTCAACAACTACTTTTCTAAAAGGCGCCGCTTTCTTTTGATAGTTTTCCTTCTTTTATAAAAACAGAAATTTTTAAATGTCGCAATTGGATAATTGTTTGGCAATAAAAGAGCCACAACAAATTGTATATTTACTTACTTTAAGCTCGTATTAGCTTTCAAAGTGCCTACAAATCTTTGTGTAACATCAATAATTACAATGCAAATAACGCAGGGTGTTAATAAGTCCACAAGCCTGTAGCGAAAACCTGTGACATTATTCCTAAATTGAGATGTTTGCATTGCAATGAATTGGGTAGGACCTAATCTGCTCCCGATCTGTTCACGAAATGGTGTCAAAAGATAAGAGGTAAGGCAATGTAAAGATCTTTTCAATAATTGCTAATTACTTTTATAGATGTATTGTAGGACCGCATTGGTTCACTGAATAGCCTGTTCACTGCCAATTACGCCCCATCGCGTTTCCGATGTAATAAGGAAAAGTCATTTTTACACCCCGGATATAATTAACGACAAAATAAAAACCACCATCGGTATATTTTAAGATATATCATATCAATATGAACCTTCGTTTTAAAATCGTATAAGAATTTTTCATACACTCTAAAGTATTGAAAACTCAATAAATGTATGTACATTAGTACTGTAAGAGAATACGCCATTTGTTAAATAGCGATTTCCGTAACAAAATAAAGTTTAACCAAGATTTGTGTTATTTCAAACTATATTTAACAATCAATATCAAATAACAAACGTTTTACATTAATGATTTAAGCTACAGTCCGTAATTTAACAGGAATAAGCCTAATTTGTCCCCACTTTTACCTATAACAGTTTAACTAAATTATAACTTTGCTTCATTTGTCTGTCTTTCTTTTTAAATCAATTTCTGCTATTCGACTTGATATCGCAATTGTTAAACCCCCGGCGTACTTTATAGATGTAAAGTTTGACAATTGAAATTATTCAAATGAAGATTATCTGATACAAATAAAAAGTGTAATCTATAGTAACTGGGACAACAAACTCTCGTGTCGTAAGGCCCAACACATATCTAATTTATTTTTCAAAAAATTACATCCGCTTGACTAAGTATTATGTCATAAAAATATATCGTATATTGTCGTCTGCAAGCGATGTTCAGACAACATCAGACTCCCGCGTGCTACAGTAACTGAAGATTTATCTCTCGTGATCAGCTCGTATTGATCCGCGCTAGTTTCCGTGACAGAGAAATCCAATTTATATTTTTATATTGAAAGATTAATATGTCTTATATGGATCATATTCGTGACCAGTGTAACCCAGTTTAAACATAAGATATAAAAACTGATAGTTTTGATAGTTTTTATTTCTTGTCGTTTAAAATACGCTAAAAGTGCAATAGTTTATAAAGGCATGCAATTTAAATTGGGTTGAATGTGTGCATGTTTTGAATGTACTTAATACCTTGGCTGTTCCATCTGACACGCCACGTCCTCCCGCCAATTACGTTGTACTTGGATATGTTCACCGGAAGTAGAATTGTGCACCTGAAGTTGAAATGTTGACATTTCGTCCTAATAAATATTGTGTAAATTCATGTTAAATTTGGTTGTTGAATGACATCATAATGATTAAAGACTGTACCTCCTAACCTGTGGATTCGCAAGTTTGAGTACTGTTAGGTTCGGTACCGTGTTTCCTAACAATAGCACCTTAGTCACCTTATTCTTAGTCTATGAATTGGAAAATACAATAAAATTTCGACAACTTACTAGCTTTTCAGAAACAGGTGTTGAATTTAAGTGACTTAGTTTAATATATTCATTTTCTTTACTTCAAACGTATTCTGAACTTTTATATTCATTTATATTTCATTTACTGTTAGTCATACATGGTGATAATAAATAAACGGTCAGAAAGTTAAAGTCGTCTGCAAATAATAATAAACATTATTGTAATCTCCTCGACCTTTCTTTACTGTCTTTTATCGACCACCCGAGGCTGTTCTGTATTTACCTACTAAATCTTAAGACCTCCCAGAATAAAACCACCTTGCCAAGTTCATTTTAGAACTCATTTTGCTAGATAAAACGTTCATACTTGCGGTCAGGAAGAATATCTGTTTTAGCAATAATAATCCTTTTGAAAACCATACTTGAGCTTTTTATAATCCATGTCAAAGAAATGGAAATCTCGCTAGCATAAATTAGACACAATTTAAAACTATTTTGTATCATTTTCCACGTGCTGATATGCTTATAGATGATTGATTGAACATATATGTTCGGTTACTTATTGACAGCAGACGACAGGCAAGCTTGCAGATATTATAAACTTAAGTTTTGAAGATAAATTGCATGCCAAACTTAAACTAGTGCATATTCTACGTCTGGCTTTTCTTGAGGCAATAATATTACTACAAAAATCTTAAGAAGCGAATTTTGAAGCACTCTTGATTGACGGTTCTCGTTAATAGTTTCTATAGATAGTAACATGTCAATTTCTGACACTTGACGACGAGCACCTTGCTTGTCCTGATAATTGTCAATTTCTAAATCACTAAACAATATAAGTTAACCACAATTATTACCTACTAGCATGCAATTACCATTGACAGTATTATGGTATAGCCTATCATAAAATCTTGGTGTCAGATTTGTACACCGTCATCTGATCTTTTGCCGAATTTTATCGGACCGACTTCGATCAAACGACTGATTATGATTGTTAATTAAGCAAATAATTGACAGCGGTGAACGAAAAAGAACCGGCACACCTTCTACTAGTACATTATCTACATTAATGTGACACCTATATCTTACAAAATGTTCTTGTTTAATTCGTTCATGCATTATAATATTTTTACAGTGCCAAACAAATTGTGCACATTTATGCTTACTTGTGTTCATGCATTTGTTTATTTAAGTAATTGTAGTAATTACTGTACATATATATGTTTTTGCTATTACTGTTTTAATTTACTGTTTTAATATACATGCATACTTTTTTAATGTATACGTCTGTTAAGGGCATAGTACAAATATGATTCGAGTGAAACCGCAGTCTACAGCCGTAA